AAATTTGTGGCGTTTCGCTACCGTCACATACCGTAAAATCAAAAAAAATAATCGCTACCGTCACACGAGCATAAGCAGAGCAGATAACAATCATTTCATTGAATACTAGTTTATACATGATGTTATCAAAAGTTCATCAAGTAAGTCATATTAATGTAGAGTCTACATGTTCTATTTCTGCCAATTATAAAGTGGATCACTATGTTCCCTTGCGTCAATTTCAATTAGACAAAAATAAATGTTTATCTTCGCCAGTTTAATTATTAACTCGATGATATTACAGCCATCAGGCATTCAGTGTTGCACTGAACCGAACTTAGCATACAAACTAGTACACAAGTCAATATTTTTAATCGAAATTATCTTATGTGTTTGCTAAATAAATAATTACCTCATTTTATTGTTCAATATGTTGGTGTAGAGTTTAGTTTAAAAGATTGAAATATAAATATTCTCATTGAAGGATATTTTTTTATACCTTATCAGTACTTTTCTAAGAAAATGACAACTCCCGCATTAGGAATGTATCCTGTGGCGTGGGGGACTTTACTCACGTACCTTAAACGGACACAAATAACACTCAGACTCAGAACAACAATTTGTGGATCACAAAAAGTGTTATCCTATGTGGGGATCAAAACCAGAACACTTAGCGCCACGTCTTCGAACGTGACTGTCAAAACCCACTTCAAAAATGATGATTAAATTGAAACGTCGCACACTCAAGGAAGGATGACAATACAATAATTTGTGCGATTATCCTGACCAAGATCTCCAGGATTAACAATTTTTTTCATGTTGTGCGCCAAAACACGGTGTGTCTTGTGCCTCCTACTGAGGCGTTTCCCTATATGTGTTTTAATGATATTGTTACTTTTCAGTTTTTTTTGTTATGTTAGAGAGGGCAGACGAGCAGACGGGTCACCAGATGGAATGTGACTATCGCCGCCCATGAACGTCTACAACTCAGGAGTCACAAACGCGTTGCCGGCCTTTTAGGAAGGAGTACGCTCTTTTCTTGAAGGTTTGAAGGCCGTATCGGTCCGGAAATACTGCAGACGATAACCCGTTCCACAGATTGGTTGTGCGGGGCAAAAAGTGTCTCGAAAAGCGCACAGTAGTGGAGCGCCAACTATCCCGGTAATGAGGATGAAAATTTTGCCGTGTGGAACGATATTGGTCCGAACAATTCCTCGAAGCACTCTCCATGATATATGCTATAGAGAATGCAGGAGAATCTAGAATGCTCTACGTAACGCCAAGGGATCGAGCCGATCGGAGATGTTTGGGCTATCGACGATTCGAGTCGCTCTTTTTTGGATGCGGTCCAGATGGAGAAGCTGGTACTGAGGTGCCCCTGCATAGAGATGAGAACAGTATTCCATATGCGGCCGGACTTGCGCCTTATAGTGCTGAAGGCGGTGGGCCGGAGTGAAATACTGCCTCACTCTGTTCAGTTCATCGAGCTTTTTCTTTTAATGATGAAATAATTATCATGACTAAAACAGCAAAAATAAATACATTTAAAAAATTAAAAACTACGCACTTTTGTAACGAGCCAAACTAAAAATAGAAAATAATTTTCTAGTTTATCGTAAAATTATTTTATCTGATTTTATAGTTTAAAAGCGTGAGGTATTTTTTAAGATATTTTATAATTTAATGACTACTTTTACCAATACCTATAGATAAAAAATTTACAATTGACATCTAGAACCTATTACCGAGGATTTAGTGTACTGTGTGTCACATGAAAACTAAAGGTCTCATAATACCTCTCTTTCCGATTTTTACAAGGGTGAACGTTGACTCACTGTCGACATCCGTTATTTTGAATTCATATTAAGAATGTACTTAACGTCTGAATAAAGCAGTAGAAGGTTACTTCTGGCCTTAAATGAGCAATCAACAGGTTGGCGGAAGGGTCACCGTGGCTCACGTAGCGTACATAAAGTAATGAATGTCACGTCCAAACTTGAAGGAAACGATAAAGGTCAACGTATAAAATTGGTAACATTATTGCTACCAGACCGTTAAACTAATTATTGAGTCCATATTAGAAGAGCCGAGAACGGCGAGAAAACGCTTTCAGTTCGTGCTCGCTTGAGAATTGTATTTGGAAAGCTGTTATTATCGGAATTTCGAAAGAGTTCTTTTTTGGTGCGGATATTTTTTTCCCGAGTGTGCTCGTAGGTGTCTAAGAATAGAAAGTTTATTCTCGGGGGCGCTATAAAAGTTTGTTAAAAATAAAAACGCTTCTAGAATGGCTTCGAAATTTACAAATAAAACTACTTAAAAATAAAATTTGGTACCATATGTTAAATAAAAAAAAGTGCCTACCGACTTAATATATATTTACTTAAGTTTTCTATTACCAATGCCTGCTGTGGAGTATGGAAGTCTTACAAAATTTAAAGATTTTGCAGTGAAACGATGTGATCTTGGAGAAACTATATCTACAGGAGAGACTCTTGAGTACTGATTGAGTTGAGTTGACTCGATTTATGTGTAATTTTTATTCTGTATGACAGGATTACAAACTGCGTTTTGTCAAAGTAGATGAACATATTAGTACAATTTTATTCATGAATCAACAGGGATTCTAGGGTCGTCGGTACTATAAACTCGAATATCCTCTCTCGAAAATTAAAAACAAATTAATGTACCTACCTTACCTATCACAATAATGCGAACTAACACGAGGGATGCTTAGTGTTTAACGGAGGCGGCAGCTCATGATGTCCGCAAAGGGGCCTACATAGTAGACGATAGTAACTGAGATAGGAGTTATAAAATTCGGCCTCACAAGTATAGTTTGACAGATATAACCTATTCGAGTAGCACTGCGTGTAGCAGCGACAGGTTGTTATAAAGATATGATAACTAGGGTCACGTATTCATTTGACTACTACTTTGATCACAAACAAATACCTTAATCAAAATATTGTCTTCATAATCCCTTATTATTAAAAAAAAACATCCAATGACATCCTACAACATGAGAGGAATGAATATAAAAAATAACATCCCTACTTTAAAGTTATTATAGGCACCCTAAAAAATATATTTTTTAAGATTTTATTTTACCACTACTTCACTATGGCGTAATGGGTATGTATGTACATGAGAAATTACAGGTTTCTAGCACTAATATTCTGTGAGATAGAGTGTGGCAGAAGGACGGAGGGACATGACAAAACCATAAGGGTTCCGTTTTTGCCATTTTATCTACGGAACCCTAAAAATGTAAATAGCGGCACTATGACAAAGTATCGACACATTCGTTGGTTGACAGGGATATCCAGCTATAAAAAAATCAATTGCCGTAATTAATAAAGGGTGTCTCAGTAAGAGTGCACTTTTCTAATTTAGAATCATTTTTGTTTTGTGCAAGTGGCAACTCTGAAATTTGAAAGCTGTCACCTATGTTTATTCCGATTATAAAAAATGGAGCGCTTTTCAAAAAAACAACGCTTCATAATTGTGAAACCGTGTTTTGTGAACCGAAAACGCAGAAATTTTCAATAAAACAAAACCTAATGTGTCAACCATTCGAAGAGTGGTCAAAAAATTTGAAGAAACTGGATCGATTATGGATATTAAGAATCCTTTGCGTCAATGTACCGATCGGTCTCTTGAAAACATTGCTGCTGTAAACGAGTGACGCCGAAAACCCGAAAACATCAATTCGGCATCGTTCTCAACAACTTCAAATTTTACGAAGCACTACGCAGCGAGTTTTGCCAAAAGACTTCCACCTTCATGCGTACAAGAGTCAGCTAACTCAGGAGCTCAAACTAGACGACCATGGAAAGCGCTGGCAATTCGTTCAATGGGGAATGGAGCAAAGTGAAGTCGATGCCAATTCTTCCAAAAAAGTCATCTTCTCCGGTAAAGCGCATTTCCATCTGAATGGCTACGTGAATACACAAAATTTTCGAATTTGGGGCTCAGCAAATTCAAGAGAAACAAATGCACCCATAACGAGCACATTTTGAGCGGAGCGGATTTTGGTCAGGCGGCGTAATTGGGCCTTACTTTTTTGAATATGAGGCCGAAATTGCAGTGACTATGAACGGCATTCGTTACAGAAATATGGTAACGGAGTTCTTGTTTCCTCAACTGGAAGGCATGGATCTGGACAACATGTGGTTTCAGTCGGACGACGCCACCTGCCACACCGCACATGAAACAACCGACTTTTTGCAGCAACGATTTCTAGAACACATTATCTCACGAAATTCTGATGTCAACTGGCCACCAAGATCGTGCGAATTAACGCCGTGCGATTTTTTTCTTTGGGGTTTTGTGGAATCTCGGGTTTATGCGAATGAACCAGAAACAATTCCTAAGCTCAAATCAGAGATCCAACGCGTTATCGGTGAGATACAGCAACATCTCTGTGTAAAAGTCATGGAAAATTTCAAGAAAAGAGTAATGGCCTGTCATCAGAGAACATATCTTCTTCACAATCCAATAAAAATATCTATACTCTTTCATAAAATACGCGTTTTTATTTTAAAATGAAAAAGTGCACTCTTACGCAGACACCCTTTATTCACCAGACAGATGAAAAGTTAAGACGATTATATAACATGATTTGATCAGAAAAAAATAAAAATAATTCTTTTTTACAAAAGATACACCTTATAAATAGAAAATAAATGTATTCGATACCAAGTTCGACAGGTCATCCAGTTGCCAATAAATGAATGCGCATAGTCTACATGTATATAGGTAGTTATATATTGTTTATTCTAATTAGATTCTTTAAAAATGAAAGCAAAAGTAAAAGTATTCTTTTTCATTAAGACAATAGTGTTGAGGATTTTAAGGTTATACTAAAGGAGGTTAACACCCAAACCTTTTTCTTAAAAAAATAAAGGTGTTGAAGCGTGTGTCAGATTATCCAGATGACTGAATCTTTCAAGTGTTACAATAAGATTGTGTTAGTTTTATTTTCAGTTTCTAGCGAAAATATGAGATGTGAAGAAATTTAAATGGCATTTAGTTTATGCTGTCCTTGGTTGGATAAACGTGTACCAAGTATGAATTATTTATTAATTTTAACTGATTTTGAAGACATGGGATTCGCCTTATACGTGAATAAATTTTAAATCCCTAAGGCATTTTCGTATAAAGTACATTGTTTTGATTTTTAATTTGAAAGTATGTAAATTATCTATTGTATTTTTCTTTTACTAGGAATTTCTTATAATTAATTGCCTTGGCCTGTAGGGTCTATGCGAATACTCCCTGTATTCGCATAGTCTGCTTGTTACATAAATAGCACATGCTTTTTGACAAGCTATGTAGCATGAATATTTTCGGTTTATTAGATTTAAATAATAAAATTATTTTCTTTTGTTTTAGGCCTACAGTTGCGGAGCATAGAGGAGCCAGCAGGTGGCGCGGGCGCCGGAATGCCCGCGCCCACCTGCTACGACTCCGAATGTGCACGTACCGAAGCCTGGCTCGACGAAAATCAGGAGTTTGTTCATGATTACTTCCTGAGGTGAGTACCAAGACATTCACAATGTAAAATAGCAACGTTTATGGCTTCATTGGTAACTATTCTGTAATTTCCATACAACTACTGGGCTCCTATTACGTAAGTGTGATTAAAATGATAGTCGGCAAAATGTTGGCATTAAATTCGTATGTATCAATATACATGAACTATGTATACACCGTCGCTCCACATTTGAAAATTGAATGAAAATGTTGGTGAAAGCACTTTCTTAATATAATATACATTTGTGTACAGCTACCATTTTCTGATAAATTGTTTTTATTAGGTCTTCAAAGAAAAATTCAATCAAATTAGAATTCTCTCAAATTAGAATTCTCTCATTGAGATGTATTTTCCTATTCAAGTGTACAACAAGCCAATAGATTTGTTCTTTTTTTAGAATGGCACCCTTCACCTAAATAAAAGACTACCGAGTATTATGAATATACGGAATATTTGTGCACAGCCCTTTTCGAATGGGGTACATCGAAACCTATCACTGTACATATGTTATTGAAACTGTGTGTTATAATGTCGTGCACTTGATAAATACGAAGCCGAGCCGAATTGTCATTCGAAAATAGTGAAGTAACACAACGAAACATCGTTTTGAAATTTATTTTTATATGATTTAATATCGTATTTATTCAATTTTAAAGCGACTAGCTCTTCATCCTAATACGCGATCAAAGACTAAAACGGTACATACTTTATATATGTACCTACTTCAATGTTATTAAACTTCTCTGAACTGATTTAAATAGTGATCGAAACAAGTAGGAAAAACCAAATGACGCAATATCAATTAATTTCGCAATTTATCTCGCGCTCAAACATTATTCAATTAAATGGTTGTCCCTTGACTTCCGATCACAGTTTCATGGTAAGTATCGTACGGATCATGGTTCTGTGTTGGTACTAACTGAAAAAAGTACGAACGGTGTTGGCCCCCGTTCTATACGTTTTGTGATAATATTGAGGGACTGTTATTCTGTGAACATAAGAAAATAAGTTCAATTTTGAGTTAGGCTACTGCCATTCAGAGATATGTACTGGGTTTATATTATATAATATGCACTTGGCACGGATCTCACTCTCAGAATGTAAGCGACCTAACTCAAAATTCAGCTGGTCATTAAGGACATTTTTGGTAAGTTAGCATGTCTTCTAAAAAAAGAATACATTCAGACAAAAAATCGGGCATGGATGATTTGTTTATGGTTCCAAATTCCATTTTTTTTATTGTTGTTAGATTGGCACAACTGTTTTCCAATTTAGCTCCTAGTTTGATTTGCATCTGTTAGTTACATTAAATACAGTGCTGTTTTTAGTTATTGTCCGTGTGGTGACGGATTAAGAATACAGAGTGTCACCACCCCTATTCATCCCGTGGGTATTGTAAGAGGCGTCTAAGGGAGCGAAATACGCAGGACAACAGCACTGCAGAGAGAAGGAAAACTTGACACAAACCCTATACTAACCCGTCTGGCCAGCGTGGTAATAGTAGGCCAAAACCTCCTTTCTAAGGAGAGGCCTATGTCCAGCAGTGGACTGTTAAAGGCTGTTAATGTGTGATGTTTTGGTTATATCATATGTAGTGTGTATTGCGAATTTCATAATGGACAAAAACATCGAACAAAGAGTTTGTCTTAAATTTTGCATCGCCAATGGAATTTCGTGTTGGAAGTCACTGAAAATGTTACAGAAGGCTTACGGTGAATCGACTTTATCAAAAACACATGCGTATGAGCATTCAAAGCGGTTGAGATGTGATGGAAGATTTGCCTCGTTCTGGTAGGCCATCAACGTCTGCAACTGAAGTTAACATCGCAAAAGTAAAGGAAATAGTGACTGAAATTCCTCATTCAACTTTGAGAGAGATAGCCGCCGAACTTTCTGTATCTCACTAGTCGACCCGTACCATTTTAACTAATCATTTGGGTATGAAACGTGTTACCGCTCTGCTAGTCCCAAAAGACCTGAATTTTCTCAAAAAAAAACTCAATCGCATGAGAGTCTCTGAGGACATGCTAGAACGAGTCAATTCCAAACCCAACATTCATAAAACGCATTGTTACTGGTGACGAGACATGGGTTTACGAGTTTGACATGCAAACTAGTCAACAAGCTTCGGAGTGGCGCCTTCCAACTGAACCGAAACCGAAAAAACCACGCCTAAGTCGATCAAAATTCAAAGTCATGTTGACTGTTTGCTTTGACTATCGCGGTGTTGTGCACTCTGAATTCTAACCGGAAGGTCTAAGGGTAAATATCTAAAGAATATTATTTGAGCGTTATGTGGCATTTAACAGAGCTAATCCGACGAAAAAGGCCAGATTTGTGAATAGAAAATTCTTGGATTTTGCAACACGACAATGCGCCTTCGCACAAGGCCATCTTTGTGAACGAATTTTTTGGCCAAATACTCAACAAATACCATCGAGCAACCAGCATATTCACCAGATATGGCTCCAGCTGACTTCTTTCTTTTTCCTAAACTCAAATTACCACTTCGTGGCACCCGTTTTCAATCAGTAGAAGACAAAGGAGAATTCACGGCGAGAACTGAACTCAATTCCGGAAACAGCGTTTAAAAAATGTTTTGATGATTGGATTATTCGTTGGCGTAAGTGTATCCATTCTGAAAGACCATACTTTGAAGTGAAGGTGAACAAATAAATTTGGATGAATAGCAAAGATTTTGTTTATTATTGATCTTTTCCCAGTACTTTCTTGACAGAGTAGTACATAGGTGAAAATCGTGATCAACAAAAGTGATTATTGTATAGTATGCTGGCCTTCTCTTACACATTTTTGGCTTTTTTTTCTAGGGTTTCAAAGTGGGCATTTTAAGGGCCAATATATATCAAAATTATAAGTTCCAGCGATTTTGAGTTAGATTACTTTCATTCCAAAGGACCGAATTATGAGAATGATGTCCACTCAGCGCTAAGTGTATCAGGTATTTCAAAGGCAAGGTTCACATAAAATAACATCCGTTACGCAAGGCTCTATTAAAGACGACATGATGGATGAGGACTTTCTTAACATTCAACCCAAGCGCGTGCCAACTAGGCCGGTGGCATTTGTTACATGGACAACTATTGAACTTCTAGTGATATTAAAAGGTCTTATTCTTTTTATTTACACATTTTTTTTGGTGAATAGTCGAACAGGTCGAACTCGAAGTAAAGATAAATATATCATGTCTCAGAATGCTAGAATAATATAGTCTGAATGGGTAACGTAAACGTTGTCATTTTATTACTATAAGTACTTCTGGGTGGAAATCCTATTACAGAAATTAATACTCATTTATAAATATATTTATACGTAGTATATCTCTATCTTATAAAAGAAATCACGTATCATCATCTCGTTCAGTTAAGCTCGTCACTCAGTAATTCCTCGGTTCTGGCGTGACATTGCTGCATTCGTATCTTGTAATATTAATTTATATGATTATTACCGACCGAAGAAAGATTGAAAGATATAAGTGTGCCTGGCACATAAGAGCAAATAAAATACTATAAAAACAAACGTGTCCCATCTTTTTCGATAATACATAGATCTAGACGAAAACCGCATTTTGCGGGACTCTTAAGGTTCTTACATGGATTTATGGGTTTTTAATGAATAGTGAAACACAAGAACTAGCACAAGGAAAACCTTCGGTCAGTGATAAATTTGTATAAAACTACCTAGTGTGAAACATCCTAATGATATTTCGCCTCCCTAAATAGATTATAAATCATTGAAAACCAAACCTAACTTATCAAATCACATAAATGAGACACTATAAATTATTCTTCAAGTCAAGACCACGACTAATTACATGGAATATATACGAGAAGTATAACACAGCAGTAGAATAAACAAGTTTCTTAAATAAAAAAGTAATAACAGGGCAAGTGCGTGTCGAGCCACGCCCAATGTACAGTTCTGTAGTTGTTCCGTTGTCTTCACAAACCTTTATTATTTTTAAAATACCTATCCAATGACATCCCACATCATGGGCTGGATGAATATAAAAATAACATCTCCAGTTTATAGGTACTAGAGATACCCTAAAAAATACTTCATCATCATCATCATCAACAGCCTATACTAGTCCACTGCTGGACATAGGCCTCTCCTTAGAAAGGAGGTCTGAGGGAGGAAAAATACTTATCAACATTTTATTTTGCCAGTTTGTCGGCGTGCTTAATATGTATGTTAATGCGAATTTACATGTTTCTAGCACTAATATTCTGTGAAATATAATGTGGACAGACGGATATGATGACACTATATTTGTTCCATTTTTGCCATTTTGGCTACGAAACTTTTAAAAAACATGGACAAGGGGTTGTAATGTTTCTTAGAGTAATAGATTGTACCACTGGGACAGTCACTTCAGTCCCGATTTCTGTACAAAGTTTTGATGGAAAATATTATTCAAATATAAGACTCTAAGATCTTAATAGCTTTTTTGATCTTTTAGGTTAATCCATTGTACTAGCCCAGGTAGAACTATGTAGAGTGGACGCTTTCTACAGATCGTTATAACTATAACCAACGGATCTAATACATATAAATTCTAATTAAATAGCACATAATTATGTATGTAATTTTTCATGCAGGAATTAACAGGATCAAAATACAATTACAAAACCACTACATATATTCCCTCCTACTTCTACTCTCTACCTAGTGTGTTTCAGCTGGTTTCAGTTACCTGTTCTACTGCGAATACGAGTAAGTTGTATATATTAGAAACTCGTGGACGGACCATGTTCATCACAGTAAATGCTGAGGGGCCACCTATTTTGTGGGACACAGAGTACACCGCTCATCAACATAAGCTATCGATGTTGTTGAGAGGCCTACTTGGTTATGTACTCGTACAATAGGTAGTTTCTCTTCTCGTTGGTACCATAAATCTATACTAATATTATAAAGCTGAAGTGTTTGTTTGTTTGAACGCGCTAATCTCAGGAACTACTGGTCCGATTTGAAAAATT